CACCCTCTATCTCCTGTTTACAACACAGTCCTTTGAGCAGTTCCAAGAAGGTTTTTTAAAAACCATTTTTAGTTAAAGATAGCCTGATCTTGGCAGTGCATGCTCCGGTAATCTTTGGATTGGATTACTGTAATGCATTGCTGTATGGGGCTACTCTTGAAGACCATTTGGAGATAAACAACTAGTTTAGAACAGTATGGCCAGAATGGTATATGGGCCTTTAGGACAGAAATGATTACTCTAGACTTAACATTCTAGATTTCAGAAAGGTATTTGCTCTCAGTCTTTGAACTGTCCATCTGTCATTCTAATGGAGAGATTGATCATTATGATTCCATGTGAGCAAGGTGTAATTTGTCATTTAAAAACTTTAGAATAGAATAGAGCTGGAAGAGACCATGGAGGTCTTCTAGTCCAACCCCCTGCTCAAACAGGAGAACCTATACCATCTCAGACAAGTGACTGTCTAGTCTCTTCTTAAAAACCTCCAATGATGGAGCACCCACAATTTCTGAAGGCAAGCTGTTCCACTGGTTAATTGTCCTCACTTCCTGTTAGCAAGTTTCTCCTTAATTCCAGGTTGCTTCTCTCTTTGATCAGTTTCCAAATATTGTTTCTTGTCCAGCCCTCTGGTGGTTTGGAGAATAATTTGACCCCCTCTGCTTTGTGGCAACCTCTCAAATACTGGAATACTTCTATCATGTCTTCCCTATTTTTTCTTCTCTTTAGACTAGCCAAAGCCAAGTTCTGCAAATGTTCTTCATATGTTTTAGTCTCCAGGCCTTTGATCATCTTAATTGCTCTTCTCTGAATTTTTTCCAAAGTCTCAATATCTTTTTTATAGTATGGTGACCAAAACTGGTTGCTGTATTTCAGATGTGGTCTTACTAGGATTTTATAAAGTGGTACTAATACTTCACGTGATCTTGATTCTATACCTCTGTTTATACAACCCAGGATTGTATTAGCTTTTTTGGCTGCGGTTGCTGCACACTGCTGGCTCATAGTCAAGTGATCATCCACTAGGACTCCAAGGTCCCTCTCACCGTTACTGTTTTTGAGCCAGGTCTCGCCAAATCTGTACTTATAACTTTGATTTTTCCTGCCTAAATATAAAACTTTGCTTTTCTCCACATTAAAGTTCATTTTGTTGAGTAAGGTCCATTGTTCAAGTTTGTCAAGATCTTTTTGGATCCTGAGCTTGTCTTCTTGGGGGTTCGCTGTTCCTGCCAGTTTAGTGTCATCTACAAATTTGATGAGTTCCCCTTCTATTCCTTCATCTAAGTCATTTATGAAGATAGCTTAACCAGTTTTACATATCTTTTGTCATTTATATCTATATTCTGTTTTCTTAAGGATTTCCTTTTTTTTCTCTACTTTCGTTATTTGGAGGAAGAAATTGTTTTCTGTGTGCTGTGTGTTTTTATTTCCCTTTTGTTTTAAAAATAAAAACAATATAGTATGTGGGTTGGAAGAGGTGCAACATTACCGCTGCTCTTTTAGTCTGTTGGTGCTCAGGATATACCCAGTCCACTTTAAAATGCTGGTGCTGCTTCTTACAGAGTCCTACATAGCTTTAAACCTGGATTTCTGTCCCAGTAATAATCACATGGCAGCCAGAGAGCTGCTGGGGAAGGCATTTTGATGGCCCTGGCTGTACAAATTTATATATCCATCAATAGCAGATTTTTAAAAAAAATTAATTTCCAATTTCTGTGAGAAAGCTCCCCTCCTCTTGGACTTTTGGAAAACTCTAAAGACCCTGACATTCCCCAAAACATGAGTAGTTCACTAGCTGACTTTAAATGTTTCCAGAATCATTGGGATGTTTATATTTTAGTAATAATGTAATGCTTTAATATTATTTTAATTTTGAAACCGTCCTGAAAACTTGAGGGTGGAAGGACATGATATAAATCCAAATAAATAAACTACAAAGTGCCTTGTAAAGGGTGGTTCATGTATTGGGCTTGATTAGTGCTAATCTGAAAAGTAAATAGCTCATTAAAACAAACCGCAAGCCTTTGACAGCAACGTGATCATTTTTGTAAGCACATCACCGTCTTTACATTCATCTGTTTTACAGTTTTTAATTGTTAATATGTTTGAACACCACCCAGAGTCCCATTTTGCGGGATGGGTGGCGATGTAAATCTAATTAAAAAAAATAAGATTGTAAGCTTTGTATGTTGGAAAAAGATCCATAGTTGATTTAAAAAAAAATAGTAACTTCTTTCTTAGGGTGGTGAAAATAGTATTGGCAAGCTGATTTTGGCGTCTGATTTCTGGACACAGTGGAATATCTGGGCAATATTGTCTCCTAAGGGTTAACTGGAGGTGGCTTGAGTCAAACAAAAGGAAGATCAGCAAGAGTTTTGCTTTCTGTTTTTGAAGGGGATGGGAGTTTGCCAAGAGTCTCCCGTTGTTTAATTTCCTTCTGGAAGCAGCCCAAGTGTGGGGCTCTCCCCCCCCTTTTTTTTTCTTTTCTTTCCACAGTGACCATTGCAGAGGCTGAGCTGCTGGGGTCAAAGCCTCCTCTATTGATCAGTATCCCTGCAGTCTCCAGCTCCAGCATCTGCTTCATTGGCTTCTTTCAGTGCCTGCTTCAGTACATTAGAATAGAAATCCATAACCAGAGCTGTGCTCATCCGAGCAGGGGAAGAAACTAAATTAAATGGTATAAAACAATCTTGGATCAGGAGTTTGCGCCAATTCATCTTGATCTGAGATGTCACACCGGGGCTCTCTTGTCTGAGCACCTGGGCTAGGAGGCAGCCATAGTGAAAATAGATGGAGCTGTGATCATTCATTTGTCAGCTAAGGAGCTTGGCAGCAGTTAGCAATTCCCTTCTGCAGAGGTCAGCTGACAGAACAATCACTGCAACTGCAGAATGGAGCTTTCCTTTGAACTATTGTTATGGAGCGTGCTTCTTGGGGGGGGGGAGCTTGAGGGAGAGGAGAGGGAAACAGACTTTTCTTCCAGAGAGAAAATTAATGTAGGCAAAGCCCCCCCCTTTTGCAGTATAGCTTGCATTCTGCCGCTGAAATCATATATACAAATGGTTGATGATTAAAATGGTTATGTAACACTTAGTGTAGATTCCCGTCTTCATTCCTCTCTGGTAGAAGGTAACTATTGATTTTTCTTCGCACTTTCCTCCTTAAAGATCACCTTCCCTTCCGTTTCTCAGAGTATAATGCAATCACACTACCAGAGCTAGAACTGAAGTAGGAACCGTTTCCCCCCCCCCCCCAAACCAACATTTTAATGCTAGTCTTTTCAAGGGAAACAGAAAGGGAGGGAGGGATTGCCATAGCTTGATAATAACACAGCAGATGCTTTTCCTGTTAATTCACAAATTTTTAATCTTCCGCTGCTGGCAATTCTTTTAGGGAAGCCTTTGCTATTTTCTGACTTCCCTCAGATTTACCACAAAGCAGTAGGAAGAAGCGAGGGGTTTTTTTTTCTTCATATAAAGCTGATGAAAATATACTGAAAATGTACTCTTGGCAAATGGATGGAAATATAAATTTCTCTTCAATACAGTTTCCAAGTTAATTTTGAAACCAGGGTCTTTGTAGCAAACTCAATATACCACGGCCAGCGCACTTCCACTGAAGCAAAGAACTGACACAGTTACTCTGCTACAAGAAGCATGCGCTATTTTAGACCTGGGGCAGGTGCAGCTTTTGAACCCCTTTTATACATTCCCCTCTGGCCATAAATTCTGAAAATTAAAAGGATAATTTCTTTCCAAGTTCAGGTAGAGAGAAGCCACAAATATTGGAAATTAGGCTTAGCATAGTTTTTTTTTAAGGGAAAGCAAGAGGGTACAGAATTATTTGTAGGGTCATTAGCTATCCAAGTGGCTGATTTAATTACATTGTCACTTCCATGGGAGATGGGATGGCTTTTTTTAATGGTTTCATTACATGGTCGACCTTTTAAATTTTGTAAATGTTGGAGCCTCGTAGTCACAACACATAGTGGGTTGGGTGACTAAATAAATTTGTTTAATAAATAAAATAGCAATAGCACTTAGACTTATATTCCTTACATAGGCTTCCCAGTGCTTTACAGCCCTCTCTAAGTGGTTACAGAGTCATGTATTGCCCCCGACAATCAGGGTCTTCATTTTACCGACTTTAGAAGGATGGAAGGCTGAGTCAACCTTGAGCCAGTGAGAATCGAACTGCTGGCAGTCAGCAGAATTAGCCCGCAATAGTGCATTCTGATCACTGCACCACGACAACTCAATGGTGTAAAGGAAAAATAATCTTTCAATATAACAGAATGACAACGTTGGAAGGAACCTTGGAGGCTTCTAGTCTTCTAGTCCAATCCACTGCTCAAGCAGGAAATCCTATATAATTTTCAGAATTACTGGTATCAAAACCATTTCAGCAGTGTTGGGATTCAAATACGTGAACAACCAGTTCTCTGTGTGGATGCCACTTCCGGAAGTCCATTCTGGGCCTGGGCAACAAAAAATTAGCTAACGGTTCTGCCGAAGTGGCACGAACCAGCTGAATCCCACCACTGCATTTCAGGTAGTCCTCAACTTATAACCATTCATTTAATGAATGTTCAAAGTTACAGGGGCGCTAAAAAAAAGACTTATGACTGTTTTTCACACTTAAAACTGTTGTCCCCACAGTCACATGATCAGAATTTGGACACTTGGCAACTGGCATGTTTTTATGACAGTTGCAGTGTCCCAAGGTCATGTGATCACCTTTTGTGGCCTTCTGACAAGTAAAATCAATGGGGGAGCCAGATTCACTTAACAACCGTGCTACTGACTTAGCTTACAAACTGCAGGGATTCACTTAACAACTGTGACAAGAAAAATTGTAAAAGGGGACAAAACTCACTGAACCGTCCTGCTTAGCAATGGAAATGTTGGGCTCAATTGTGGTTATAAGTTGAGGACTACTTATAATTTCTAATGAAGCAGATAGCTGTTTAATCATCATGTCCTTATGCGTTTGTATTACAGGTACTCTGTCTGGACTTCCACAAATTAAAAAAATAACTTTGTCATATGAAGAGAGACGAAAACAAGCTACCGCTATTGTTCTACTAGGAGTAATTGGAGCAGAGTTTGGAGCAGAAATAGAACCCCCAAAGTTGCTAACTAGACCACGCAGTTCTAGTCAAATTCCAGAAGGTTTCGGCTCAACAAGTGGCGGATCCAACTATTCCTTGGCAAGGCATACCTGTAAGTTATTTTCTTCTTTTCCTCCACTTTAACACAACTGTTGTATTGAAAGTTCATTAATCCCATATATTTATAATGTATATAATATGGCCCAGTTCAGCTAGAAAGGAAAGCAAATGTCAGAGCTGCCTCAGCTTGGGCTTCTAAGTAAAAACCATCCTTGCCTCCATTGGTTGAGAAAGGGATAGTTTACTAGAAGTCAAGTGAAATACAGTAATGCAAAGCCAGGACTAAATGTTTGCACGTAATTTTTTTCCCAGTTAACTCTCCTCCCTTCGTCCCTTGTCATTGTTTGTCTCTTATTGTCTCTCAATTTTAAAAGATATATTTTGGAAACAGTCACCCTACAGATCGGCATTCTGCTCCCAGGGAAATGACCTTGGAAACTTTCTCCCAAGCCTTTGCCCTTCCTTGCAGCCTCCCTCCAGGGTTCGTGGTAGACCAGTGGTTCTCAACCTTTTTAATGCCACGACCCCCAACCAGTCGTAAGTCGAGGACTAAACTAGTCATAAGTTGAGGACTATCCAACCAATCGTAAGTCGAGGACTTTCCCTGCCCGGGAGTGCCGCACATGCGCGGTGCCGCCCCCTGCGCCAGCCGAGGTGTAGCTGGCAAGCAGCAGAGATGGAGCAGGCCGACCACCGGCTGGGCCACCAGCTGGCCCAGCCCAAGGGAGGTAAGGCACCTGCCGGAAAAGGGAAAAAAATGGTGGACAGCCTTGCTTGGCGATCCCTGTGAAATGGTCAATCGACCCCAAATGGGGTCGCGACCCATAGGTTGAGAACCGCTGTGGTAGACTGACAGTGAGATAGCAGTTCTGACAACAATATAATACAAGAGTGCAGTGCTACGCTACACTACAGTACTACACTACACTACACTGCACTGCACTACACTACACTACACTACACTACACTACACTACACTACACTACACTACACTACACTACTATACTATACTATACTATACTATACTATACTATACTATACTATACTATACTATACTATACTATACTATACTATACTATACTATTTCTCTTTTCACCCCAGTGGGTGGTCTATGTCTTCCTCAATTTGTCAGAGGCTTGGAAATTTCAGAGTTCTGCACAGTATCTTAGCTGCAGCTACTACTGCACTGTTCTGGACAGAGAGCTAGGATATTGTTCATGGGATCTGTTGAAGCCTCCCAGATTAGGGGTTACATCCCGGTGGTATATAAAGTGGTCCCAGTGGTATATAAAGTGGTCCCAGTGTGTGTGTGTGTGTGTGTGTGTGTGTGTGTGTGTGTGTGTACATATTTATATGACCAAAGTGGTCCCAATGGTGATATATATTGTGTGTATCCCCAGTATGAAAACAAACAAGAGTCTTTCATCTTCACTCTTTAATTCATGCTGTGGAGGAGGAAATGGAAAATAAAAGTTAGATTTCCAAGTAATGAAATCTCCAGTGTTTTCATACTAATGGATCCTATTTTCTTTAAACTATTGTAGATGAAACTGAGACAGGATTCTGGCTTTATCCTTAGCAATCATAATTTAAGCAAGCCACCATTTCCTGAGATTCAGTGGTACAAGAAACTATAACAGTTAAAAAATATGCTTATAATTATGTCCCAAATGAACTGAAGAAGCTTCTTGAATGAAAAGCGAAATGTCTTCAAGGAAAAACAAAGTCAGTTGCATTTTGAAAAAGCGCCTTTGGGACAACCATGACTGAGAATCTCCATAGACATTTCTCTTACAGTTATGGTCAACTCTGTTCTGAAATATTTGCATTGTCCTATGGGAGGTGACAATATCTAGTCAGCTTGGCTATTCTTGGAGAAACTGAGCAAGTTTGGACCTGGTTGATACTTGATTTGCAGACCATCAAGAAATGTCAGGATTGTAGATCAAACTGACAAATAAAAAAAAACATCCCAGAAGAAATAGTGGCAAACTACTTCTGAAGTAACTAGAAATTATAGTAATCAGAAATTGACATGAGATTCTTTACCTTTTGAAATATTCAGTATGAATAAAATACTCAGATTCAGATTTATGAGATTGGTACAGCTGAATCGGACTGTTAAATGTCACAGATTATCTTTGCTACTTAAAGATAAATATTACTCCTACATTGATGTTTAAGGAACTTTTTTATGGCTGGAAAAGAAATTTTAGGTTGAAGAGAGGAAAAATATACATAATAAATTTCAGACTTGCCCATTGCACATATTAAAGTTGATTAGCAAAAACATGTTATATTTTAAGAACAGTTTTTGAAGTAACATCATGAGGGTATACTGCAAAAAGACTATGTTCAAACAAAAGGAAACAAATACCTTTTTGTAAGGGCACAAAGCTTCATTACTCTCTTCCTGATGTTCTGTTATTGTTTGGGGGAAAGTGTTTGCATATAACCAATGTAATTACTAAGATTCTGGCCATGTTGCATTAAAGTTTGATACCTATATATTATCCAAAGTGATGTTTGGAACCATGAAGAAGATATGAGAGAAAAAACTAAGAAACACTTTTTAAAATTAAAACATACAGGTTTTCACACCTGAATAATAAATCTCTAATCCTCATAAACATCTGTGACTTGAAACCATTGAAGCACTATTTTCTTGGAACCATTCTCCAGAGAATATTTAATAACATCAGTTCCCAATCATGGCCTTCATTTGGACCATAACAACAATAGACAAGAATGTCCACCCCACCTCCAGTTTATACCAGCAGGTCTCATATTCGATAAAAGTGCCATTGAAGGCTCACCATATTGCCCGATCTCACACAGTTGGACTGTTATAATTCACTGAAATAGATTTGAGGCAGGAATGTCAAAAACGTACAAGATTTGATGATGATCTGAGATTTTTGGCCATTTAAAAATAATTATTGAATCACAATGGCTCTGCTTCTTTATAATACTATATTAAATGAAAAAGGTGAGAGACTTAACTCCATCTTTTTGATCCAACGTATACTTTTGGTTTTCAAAATTCTGTTCATAAGGGCAAATCTATAATCAGAGTTGTACCACTAAATTTGTTGGAATTTAGCACTTTTCATTATTACTATCATATTTTTACTATTAATTGTAGTTCTTTGAGAGACAAAATATTGTCTGTCTGTAATCAAGTTTTTTGTCCTTTCCCCTTGGGTATTGCTCCCTTATATGGCAGAATATTGGTGAATTCTGGATAATGTTCATATTAGATTATGCTCATTCCCATAGACAGGTTCCATGCATATTTGACTGCTCAATCTTATTGCTAAGGGTTGCTAAGAATTGGGAAGCAAACAGATGCTTGGAAATAAATTTAACACTTACAGATGATTAAAATCCTGATCAGAAATTTAGACTTAATTAAACAAGGTAAATAGTCATTTTTTTTACCATTTTTATTCCACATTTGTCATATTTGATAGTTCATGTCCTATAACAATTGACTTCCTATTTGCTTACCAAGGTGGATATATATGGGGGATTTTTTTCCTCATGAACCTCTGATATGTACTGTATATCTGGATTGTTCTGGATTCTGGAAGTCCAGATTTTTATGAACCACTAATATGTTGTTCAGTGACCGAACAAAATATTTAACTATTAAACCCAGATTTGTTCACTTTTTTGAAGTCAGTTCTCAGAGTTGTTTGCAAACGAATAGAAGTGTATGTTATGTTAATTGAGAATACCTTAATCACTTCAACTGGAATGGTTAGTAATTAAACTATTGAACAGCTCTTGCCCTCCTATCTCATTGAAAGTGTATAGAATTTAAGGAAATGAAATCTTCTGTATAGCTGCTGCTTGCTTTGTCTAGGAAAAAATATATTTATTTTTTCATTCAGCCCCTGAAGCCAGTGGGCTTCATTAACGAATTACTGGTAACTCAGTTGGTGACTTGATATATGATAGAAACGACTGGTGTTTTTTTTAAAAAAATAATTTCTATGTGCTTGCTTGCTCACAACACTTTTGTTTTTGTTTTTGCAAATGCCCAGCAGTGACAATCCACCAAAATTAAATTAATGACCAAATGAAGTAGAGGACTTTGAAGCTGTTCAGGTGCTACATCATCATTATTTAATAGACACTGCTGGGTAGTTGAAATATTCTTCCATGTCACATCAGGAAGTAGACTAGGCTACAAATCCCCTTTATAGGATATAGAAACTTTTCTGTGAATTTAGAACCACAGAATTAGACCAGTAGTATATGGTCTAATGTAGAAAGCATCCACAGAGTTACAAGGAAAAAAAATGTAGCCCACATGATCAGTGATCCCTGTTTGGATTGGGAGAAACTGTCTCTGACTCAGCCGTGCCAAGACTAAAGGTGTTTGACCCACCCAGATCTGGGGATATTCTGTGGATATTCCCTATTCAGGGTAGTGTCATCAGCAAAGAGAAGATTATTGATGCTTTTTCCTCCAGTTTTAAAACCAAATTCATATTCTCCCAATCTAGCCTTCCTCAGTACAGTCAGTACTTCAAAACTGCTTCAAAATTGGTCAAATTCTGTACCAATGCACTTTGAAGCAAAACTCTTGTCCCAGTATGCATCTTTCTCCTGGTATTCGATGAGCAAGGTAGTACTTGATAGCATTGGCTTCCTCGTGACTCACTATTCCTTCTGGCCAAAATAAACAGTCACATGGTAAATCATATGGTTTGCTCTGTATTCATTTTTAGTACTCATCACACCTCCCAGAACAAATTAACGACAAGTACTGAGGGCCACTATATATATTCATTATATGGGTTGAATAAGTATGGAGAGACTAAACCAGCGGTTCTCAACCTATGGGTCGTGGCCCCATTTGGGGTCGATCGACCATTTCACGGGGGTCGCCAAGCAAGGCTGTCCGCCATTTTTTCCCCTTTTCCGGTGAGTGCCTTACCTCCTTTGGGCTGGGCCAGCTGGTGGCCCAGCCAGTGGTCGGCCTGCTCTGTCTCTGCCGCTTGCCAGCTACGCCTCGGCCGGTGCAGGGGGCAGCACCACGCA